AAGAGATGTAGCCTAAAAGTGATCTTCATTTAATATCAGTTCTGTTATTGTAAACCAAACCGTAGAAAACATGACTCGTTTAAAACACTTAAAAGCTTTAAAAAAGGAAGTAACTTAGCAGGAGCGGATTTTATGGCTCCAGTAAGTAACCGAGGCTTCCACTCTGGATTCCTTTCCTGTGATTCAAGCCCGTTTGGGTCAAACCTCTGGTTTGTTAGAAGAGTAACATCAGTGCAGCTCCTTCCCAAACAAAACTGGACCCTGACCTCTGACCTGCTCGCTATGCTGTCGAGATCAGCACGTTGGACAGCTGAGCACGGCTCAGTGGCTTTGGCCTCGCTGCCATCAAACCGTCCCTGCTCCAGGTTTTTGGTTGTTTCTGTGACTTTAGTGAAAATCGAGCACTCAGTGTCTTTAGTTAAAAAATCTGTTGACATCCTGGTTTGGAGACCTGCGTGTAGTTAGGGAGGAATGCCTCGGGCCAAAAAGTGGAATAAATCACCAACTCAACTGTCCTCACAGTCTTTCCTTTTTCCTCCCCCTCCTCTGTTTTACATGCTTTCCTGTGTCCTCCTTTTCCCAACCTTTATCTTTTTCTTCCTCCCCTCACTCGATGGCCCTCTTCCTTTTTGCCTCTTCTCTCTATCTCGTTCCTATCCTCACATTTCTTTCTTCGCACTTTTCCTCTCCCTGTTTTTGTTTCCTGTCTTTTTAGTGGGTTTGGAAGAATTCTGACTGTATTTGCTCAAATCTAAGAAATCCAATTCAGCTGGAAACGACAACAGAAAGAAAACTATTGTTACTTAATAGAAAACAGCTAGACAGCAAGTCCAAGAAGCCGCCCTCTTCTTTCCAATGGCTGAAGTCAATTATGTTCTCTTACGTAGTTCGGAGTAAAGCTCCAGAGTTGCATGCAATATGAGATAAACACCCTTTGAAAGCACTTCTGAGTTCTTATTCTTCCTCCTACTGGTTGAAAACGGAATGACAACTGTCGCAAACAACCCTCCAGCAGCCTGCTGTAGCAACAAGCTAATGCTAACACACGCTAACTAATACTAAAAAAGTGACAAAGTAGAAAGATCTGCACAGTTGGACAAAGATATATTACTTACAAATCCAGTAGCAACAAAGCTAGGTCACCATCAGTCCATGATTTTGTAGTTCCTTGAAATTGGTGTAGGCCGTGCCTATGTTCACTCTGCTTTTAGCTCTTTGAGTCACCTTCAGAAATATTACTCTCACTTTTACCTCCAGGCTCCTCTATGATGCCAACAAAAAGCAAAACTCTTCTTGATCTTTTTATTGATTGTTGGTGAGCTGAAAAAGCTTACTGCTAGCCTTTATATTAGCTACTGGCACAGTAAACGGCCATTGTCGTAAGCAGGTAGAGACCTCCTACTCCTGTTGCCAGTCATACCACAAAACTGTTGAGCCTGGTTTATGCTTGATGCGTCCGCGAGGTCCGCATGACTCCTCGTGGCTAAATAACATAATTTTAGCAACCACGCCCTCTCCACGGTCTCCTCCGGCCCAAAGTTTCCGCACCGTGCAACTAGGAAATTTTCTAACCACGCGGATGGTCCTGCGTGGAAACACATGGCAGACTGGCAAGCGCTCTTAGTGGCAGAGGTTTGTAAGTACTTACTTCTTTGATTCGGTCTTTAAAGATCACCGCGATCAAAATATTGTTAATAATTGTTGTCACTGTCGGAAAAGATGAAGACACAATGAAAGAATGTTGTAAACGACATTGATTTCTACCTCTAATATAGTGTAGTGTTGTATGCCGTAGAGCCCCATGCCGCCCCCTACAGACTGGGAGAATATTGGCTCATAGGGGAGACGAGTTGCAGGAATGAAATGCTTCAAGTTCTGACGCGCGTCTCGTTCCCGTGTGGGATGTAAATGCGTCAAGCATAAACCAAGCTTTCAACGCAGTTTCTGGTCAGCTGAAGGCTGCAGAGTGCTGTCTAATGAAACTAGTCAGGTTTCTGGCTTAAGGACCACTGAAACCAGTTTGAAAGCAATAACTCTTTAGTTTAATGGTGATGATTTAGGAAACGTGCCTGAGTTTTTTTAACACGTTTATCAAATCAAAAAAGGCTTCCTACCTAAAAATGCAAGTGGAAGTTTTAAAATGAGATATTTCCCCACTTTATTGACTTCTTTCATTAGCGTGATTGATGCACAGATCAAAGGAATCGTTTTTTTCCCCCCTAAAATTCTTCAAAAATACAGAGTCAACCCCCATCTTATCATGGATCATTTATCCAAAATACAAAATAGTTAACATGACAATCTCATCAGAATATTCATGATATCATTCTGAATACTTAAAACAATTCCAACATTGTTTTAAGTTTATGTTGGATCTTATATCGCTTTTTAGTCGAGCTTTTCCAGCAGTTGTAGTGTCCAGCAGCTGCTGAGCCTTCAAAGTAAGACAGTTTAATATGTGCAGACTTGGGTCAGATGCTGCTGAGATGTCCTACACTTTCTGGTTTGACTGTCGGAACAGCGGCTCAGAGTGAGGATGCTTCACTCAGACTCACACGCTTGTATCAACACTTCTACCGCCTGAGACTCAATGTTTACTGGAGTTGGCGACAGCCGACAACCTGTGATGAGCGTGGTTTATTCTGACTGTCGAGTAGACGGTTTCCCACCGTCATTTATCCGGGGCTCTGTGGCTCTTTTGTGTTTTGGATGTTTGCTGACTTGTTTACGGTGTTTGACTCTGTTTGGACTTGGAGAAAATTAGTGTTTTGCATTCATGAAGGACAGGAAACAAAGCCTGAAGATGGGCTAAGACTAAGGTGACTAGTTGGAAGAGCAAGGTTTTGCTTGCTGTTTGGTTACAAGCCTCTCCCAGATGTTTCCTAGCATTCCTCTCACAAAGGTAAGGGTGGCTGCACATGGGTCCTGGACAGCCACAGCGACTCTGCAGCCAACTTTGGTCTTAAGTTTTTGTTTTTTTTACATTTATTCAGAATTTAAGAGACTCGACAGGAAATTTGAGAAACCTCAAAATGTTTTGAGATGCTTTGGAAACTTTTAGGAAACCTGAAATGAAATAAGCAGAAGGCTGATGGGATCCTGACGGCTCTGCTCTGTGTTTGGTAGCAGCATCGCGGCGGTGATTTCATTCACTTTCTTTAGTCGTTTTAGGGGTTATTTCGGGTTGGTGTGTTACTGATTGTTAAACTAGACCTGCTGCGTGTTGATAGAATACATTTTGTGTTTATTGTTCTTTAAATTGGACTTTATTTCAGGAAGTCCTCCTTCCAGATGCAGCTGTACATGAAGTTAGTTAGATGCAGGTCAGTTCGCACAATAGCAACAATTATTTTATCTTAAATACAATAAAATTACGACCGCTCCGCTTGTTTTAGATATTCACTCGTTCTCTCAAGATTTTTGGAGGTTTTTTAGGTTTTAGTTTAAGCAGCAGTTTGGTGACAAGTCAGTAAAATAAAGACGTTATTTTATCTCGTCTGATTTTTCTTTTTTTAAAACATGTCAAGCTGACATTTTGAGGTTTCTGGTACCACTCGGGACCAGTTGTTTCAGTCCTACCTGTCAAAGATCAGCTCTGCCAAGATAAAAAAGAAAGAAAACCAAGGAGATAAAGATGTTTAAACTAAAAGCCAGCTAGGGAAGAAAGGGAGGGAGGAGGAAAAGGACAATCAAAGAGGAGGTATGAGAACAAGGGAGGTGCAGAGAGGTGGAGGGCATGGAGTCACAGCAAGCTGCTGACAGACTGCTGGAACAGGATGGGGAAGTGGTAAAGGAGAGCTGCTTCCATAGGTGGGTCTCTCCATGACACACGGATTCACACAAAGGGCCACGTTATAGAGCTAAGACTCCGCGTTTTAGATTTCCACAGAGATGTTATTTTAACTTTTCTCTTTCATTAATCAAAGCAAGGTCAGGGTGAAGCGTGTGGTTGTTCCTGCTGGTTTAGATTAGATGTCTGGACTTCTTCAGCCTACAGTTACTGACCAAATCTCCAGTAATCTGAATTTATTAGTGTTTACTCGTCCGTGTGTGTGTGTGTGTGTGTGTGTCGGGTTTCAGCCTCCCATTAACAGGACAGTAACACTGCAGGATGAGTGGTGGAACCGGAGGGCCCCCCTGAAGGGAGCAGGTATAAACGCAGCAGAGGTAATTCTTCACCTCTAACAGATCTTCAGTGATGTCCTTCATGCACACGCTTCAGTGAGCGGATCCAAACTCGTAAACAAACGTACATTTGCAGGCGTCCCACAGATTATCACAACGAGCTGGTGTAAAACCTAGATAACGTACTCTAAATGTTTTCTCTTGAGCCAGTGTTGTGACAGAACCTGTGCTGCTAGAATCAGACTTTTTTATTAGGATTGGTCATTTCTGTCAGGAAAACCACAAGTTTCCTTCTATCGTAATAACATTGATGTGGCTTAGAACCAGCTGCAGCTGCAGTCCGACAAATATGAACAAAAACAATCCAGGTTTGGTTTCAGACAGCGGGGACAGCATCAGGACCACACCTGTGACCTGAGTAAAGGTCTTCAGTTACTGGTGATGTAAACCTGAAGCCTGACTGGCGTCAGCGTGGCGTCATGTAAGGACGGTCAGCGTTTCCTGGTGAACTGTTCCCACGAGTTTCTCAGTGGTTTACTTGTTTACATTTCCTTTATTTATTCAGATCTTTAGAGTTCTAGTAGTGTAGAGGGACTTTTTCATGGATTTTGTGGTAACCCTAACCCAAACACCTGCATGTTTTCCGCTTCAACACACCAGAATAAAATGGTTAAATTGCCTCCACTGCTTGTAAAGCTCTACAGAAACATGTTTACAACTCATACATGTGATACAGGACTTGTTAAAGCACAGGGACCTTTAAAACGTGAAAGATATGACCCTTTGGTACCTACTGCATCGATGCGACTCCTTTTCTCCATATCAGTGTTTAATCCATCCATTAAGCTTTTGTCTCTCTTTCTATGTTCACCCAGGACCAGAAGTGTTTCCTAGGACCAGCAGCAGTGCCATGTCTGAGGCGGTGGTGCCTGACACCATGGTGTCCCCAGTGGTGGGCAGTCTGTATGGGGAGAAGACTAGCAGCCCCGTGGTGGACTTCAGCTACGTGGGCATCGACGCCATTCTGGAGCAGATGAGGAGGAAGGCCATGAAGCAGGGTTTTGAGCTCAACATCATGGTCGTTGGTAGGTTGCGTTTAATGAATCTGGAGTTAGGCTGACTCTGGTTTTAAACCACTTTCTATTAGGGTTAATTAAAAAGAGAGGAGGATTTTCTCCATTAGGGTTAAAAAATATCTCAAAGTCAGGATTCAGTTTTTTATTCTGGAGTAAAAAATGTAAAAAAAAAATTTTTGTTTCCACAACTACAACATTTGTTAACAGGACAATAAAAGTATTTCCAGTTTTCTCTTTCCTGCATTGCGCCATCCCCTCATGTCCACATTTAGTTTTATGTATGCATTTAAAAAAACACTTTTTCCTCTCAAACTTATATTTTTTCATCATCTTGTATTTGATCTAGCGCCTTCTAGAGTCCTGGAACCCCCCAAGGCGCTTTGCAACACAATCAGTCATTCACCCATTCACACGCTGGCGGGAATGAGCTACGATGTAGCCACAGCTGTCCTGGGCGCACTGACAGAGACGAGGTTGCCGAGCGCCGGTCCCTCTAACCCTAACCCTAACCCACCAGCAGGCATAGGCAGTTAAGTGTCTTGCCCAAGGACACAATGACAGCCGCAAACTGAGCGTGGCTCGAACCTGCAACCTTCCAATTACAGGGCTAGCACTTAATTCCTGTCCGTTGCCACAGCTTCTCGGACAGCTTCAGTCTGTTCCTTCTAATCAGGTTCTGGCTGAAAACCGAGGTCTCCTTCAGCAGCCACTCCCAGTAGGACATGAACCTGTGTCTTTCACTGAGTCCTCATCACTGTGGTCTGACACCTTTTTTAAACAGGAGCTATTTACACACACCTCAGCAGCAGCCATTAAACACACATCTTTAATGTGCGTCTCCTTGGGATAATGTCGCCCGGTGTCTCTAATTAAAACCGTTTCTGTTAGAAGCAGCCTCGGGGTTAGCATAAACATCTAAATAATTCTGTTTCCATGTTTGTTTGTTTTTTAGCAGGATAGACTGATGCTTTTAAATGTTTAATGAGCTCTCTGTCTGCCGAGTGCCACGGTTGATGGACTTCAAAGTATGTCAGAGCAGTCCTCTTTTGTTATGGACGTCTGTGTCATCTGTGTTGTAAAGCGCCTTTGTGTTGTAAAGCGCCTTGGGGGGTTCCAGGACTCTAGAAGGCGCTATATCAAATACAGGCCATTAGAACACACCAAGACCAGCTAAATAAGCAGGTTTCTGTTTTCTTCACTCCTGCTGGTCACTTCTAGCCTAGAAATCTAGACAAACCGTAGCAGTAGCTAAGTATAATTAGCTCCGCAGGTCGGTCTAGCCACACTTCACTGTTGCCTCAGCAGGTCTACCATTGGTTGGCTAAGTTCAGGCTGGGCCAATCACAGAGCTCTGTTTATAAAGAGACATTACGGCAGGCATAGCACCATTATAGCAGAGCTTCTGTTTTGTTTGTTTTGGGGGTTTTTTACGACGTGATGGCGCCAGCTCAGGAAATGCGCTAATTTGAAACAGCTTTTGCATCAACTTTGGGATGATTTAGACTTGGGGTGTTTCTCAATGTCAAGGCGCCTGGCCTTGCGAGACAATATCTTGCGAGGCCAGGCGCCTTGCTTACGAGGACACTGTCCTTCCTTAGTCAAAGAAAACAGTTAAATGGAACAGACTTGCATCACGTGACCGCGGCTTCCATGGCGGTCACGTAACGTTACGTGTCACGGGAGATAACGTTATATTTCATACGTATTAGTTTCAACATAAATATATAACGAGCCTTTTACTTTTTAAATTGTGTATATGTTTATTAAATTAAATATATAAGCGAGTTACTACCCGCTAGCCACCGAAGCTGCAACTACTAAGCAACTAACCAACAGATAACTTCTTTGGATCTAAAAAAAAAACATTTTAAATTAGTTGACTTACTTTGAAACTTGAAATTTGCCCCTGAAGTAGCTGCCTGCTTCTGATCCGCCGTCCTTTTAAAAATACCGTGGTGTATTCTGGGTAATTTTTGACCAAGGCTAGGCTACAAAACACCGCCCGTGTATCCTTGCTCAGCTAGCTAAATGGCTAACAAGCGGAGAACACACACCTCGGTAGAACATGAACATTGGAACACGTCTTGGCGGCTCCTGATGACGTATCTCCTAGGCAACTGGGGTGGGGCCAAGACATCAAGGCGAGGTTCCTTGGCATTGAGAAACACCCCTGGACTTTTTTTTTGAGTGAAGAGCAGATAGAAGAACTGAAGTCCTTTATTTAGAAAAAGGATGTATTTACTAGACCATCCCATAGAGACGTGGACTAAATAATTGGTACCCTTCGATTAATGAATGAAAAACCCACAAGGGTCACAGAAATAACTTGAAATAATAACAAATAAAAATTCTATGAAATATAACCAATGAAAGTCGGACATTGTTGACCATGCTTCAACAGAATTATTTAAAAACATAAAATCATTGAACAGGCCTGGAAAAAACCGATGGTACCCCTAACTTAATGATTTGTTACACAATCTTTTGAGGCAATCACTGCTCCTCTGCAGGTATTTTGACCCTCTTCTCATGCTTCATTTTTCCATCTGCGAAAATGGGAAGTTCCATCTTTGTCTCATCTGTCCATAGGACATTCTCCTAGAAGCTTTGGGGATTGTCAACATGTAGTTTGGCATATTCCAGTCTGGCTTTTTTATGATTTGTTTTCAACAATGGTGTCTTACCAAACTGATAAAGCACTGTGATTGGCAGGGCCAGATTAACACTTCGTTGTACCCTGGGCAACAATATTCAAGGGCCCCATCATCACGACCCAAGGATCACCATAATATGGTCACATACAGAATATATTACTGTAATATGCAGTAAATATACTCGATACTTGAATGCCTGACATCACGTAACCCACTCAGGGTAACCTTTGACCCACCTTGTGTGGACTGACCAATGAGGAGAGGGTCTTAACTTGAGGCCCTCTCTTCATTGGTCAGTCTGCATGAGACTGACTCTCAACTGACGTTCAAAGTCATAGACAGCGAAGCGTCTCTGTGCAGCGCAAAAGCTCGGGTGGACAGTTTGTTTAATGTAGGGTGATCATATTTCCATTTCCAAACAAGAGGACAGGGGATCTGTGCCTATGATGTCACACTACGGCAACGCCACACAAACCACGTTATTTTTTTGTAAGAAGTAAATTAATATCAGATTCTACCAATGAAGGGGCTCTAAAACAATTCATATGTAAATATTTAGCATATTTACTGCAAAATCTCATTTTTCTGCTTCAGTGCTGCAACAAGGTTTTATTAATAATAAATTATTATACCTTTTGTTTTACAACAGCATCAGTACGCTTCCTGTGCACAGATTATTAAGGATGCTTGTTTCAGCTGTGAGATTAGACGATAGGATCAATGATAAAATAATTGTCACACACTCCGTGGAAACTTTCAGAGAATCCACAAATAGTGGCTTTCAAATGATTTTGTTACTTTTAGCAGGTTTAGAAAAGCAGCAGATGAGACAGCATGTCTGATAATTTAGTTCTTCATCTGATAATATTAGAACATGTCAGTAATGTCTGAGGGGCTTTTACAAACACTGTATAACTAACACTCCTGGAGAGGGTATGAATTAAACAGAGGCTTCTGGGGAGCCCAGTTATGGGGTGGGGTGGGGGGTGGGGGCATTTTGCCTTGGCCCCCAAAATGTCTTGAAACAGCCCTGGCTGTGTGACTGAGTTTTGAATGTATCAGATGTATAAATATGACATGTGTATAACTTATTGTTTTGTACAGGTAAAAACGTGTAGTGGAGATAAATCTACCTACATTTTACTTTTCAACACTTTGTTTTGTTTTCTTGTTTTTATTCAACTGTTTTCCTGTCCTGTCTGTCTCTCGTCTTCCTGCATCTCCTCTTAATTCTCCAGAAAAACTGATGCTTGGATTCTTACTTTTTCACCTCACAAGTTACTTTTGAGCAGATCAAAGGTATCTCCTGACCGCAAAGCGGAGAGCGTGTTTTATGCTGCGTCAGTGAGGTGAAATCACCGCAGCACAGGTGATGAGCTCCGCAGTGGCAGGGCGCTTCAGGCACAAATAAGACAGAAAATAGAGAACATGTGCGGACATGAACGATCATGTGTTCATTATAGTTTTTTGGTTGCGCCACTTTGAGAATGGACCGTGCGCTGGAAGCAGCTGCCTGGATCGCTGCACAAGAACGATCAGCACTGTGCCGCTCTCTGTGCTCTCTGCTCAAAAAAGTCCATAAATGATGTAATATAGGTAGAAAATGTTTTTCCGGCTCCCCTGGATGTGTAGGATATACAGCTCCCCCATAATTCGATCCCTGTTCCTGGATGAAAAGCCGGACATTTTCATCTACAAGAACCCCCAGTCCGGACGCCCGGACAGAGAGTGAAAGTGGACATGTCCGGGGAAAACGCAACGTACGGTCACCCTAGTCCTCATAAAGCGGGAGATTACAGATACAGTATTTTGCTTGAGCCCTTGCTGCCCTGGGCCCTTTAGAGTTCTTGGGCCCTGGGCAATTGCCCAGTTGCCCATATGGTTAATCCGGCCTTGGTGATTGGCCCATCAAGCCAATGGAGCGCTGTGATGGTGGTAGACCTGCTGAGGCTCTTATGGAGCTTGGCTAGACCGAACTGCAGGGCAAATTCTTTTTGCTTTGGCTACGATCTGTCTGGATTTTAAGGATATATATTTATTTCTCCGATTGCCCCGTTGACTGACTTCTCTAACGATGAAGATGTCACATTGTTCGTTGGTTCGATTGATCCTCATGCTTTCCACCTGTTGCATAGAAACAGTTTGAAAGGCAACTGTAGACTCCACCCCACAACCTTTTATCGCTGGGTTGTGGCCGGACTATATACACTGCCCGGACCCAAAAATTCGTAGCCAACTGGATTTAAATAAGCGAATGGGTAGGAGCCTCCTATTTATCTTTCAGCTGCAACAAGTTATTTAACCTCAACTGGTGCAATGAGTTGCTCCTCATTTTTTAAACAACCATGTGGAAAGACACATCGGGTAGTCTGTCTGTGTGAGAAGGGTCAGGTCATTGGCATCAAGCAGAGAAAATATCTAAGGAGATTGTAGAAATTGGGTTAATGGTTTTTTGGGCTGGGCTGTGTATTTATGTATAAAGGACGGCTTGCCAGGCTAGATCCCTTCTACATCTGCGTCAAACACATCAGCAACACTTAAAGTCAAGTTTGACCTTCTTGTGTTGATCCTTTTATGAGCTGAACCTTTTGGTGTTAGTTTCAGACAGAATGAGGGTCCAGAAGTAGGCATTAACTCAACCACAGGGTTCCTACGGGCTCCAGCTGTTGGGATCCTTTACCATGAAACGTGTTCAGATGGCTGCTTGTTTGAGAGTTCATGTTAATAAATCAGGAAGCTTCTGGAGTGTTGATGTAACCTGAAACTGAACTGTGAAGAGTTCACACTTCCCAAATGGCCACTCCAAACTCCTCCCCGATTAGCTCAAGTTAGCAGGAGGAAGCTGTAAGGAATGCTACAGGAGAGAGGGTGTTATGGTGGTAGTACGGTGTTACTGTTGATGTAAATGTTGGAGGATTTACTCTAGTGTTGTCTTCCTGTTTGCTCACAGGACAGAGCGGCCTTGGGAAGTCGACTCTGATGAACACACTTTTCAAGTCTAAAGTCAGCAGGAAGTCGGTGCTGGCCACGGCCCAGGAGAAGATCCCCAAAACTATCGAAATCAAGTCTATCAGTCATGGTAAACCCTCAGCAGCCTCGTTGTGCCGGTTTATCTTTGATTTCCTCTTAAATAAATAATGTCTTGGCTCGTTGATGCATCACGTTTAAAACCCTGCTGTAAATTTGTCACCATGCCCTCTGATTGGCCTCATCTGTGTTGCTGCTTGCCAGACGTTGAGGAAAAGGGAGTGAGAATGAAGCTGACGGTCATTGACACACCAGGGTTTGGAGACCAGATCAACAATGAGAACTGGTACCCCCCCTCCCCCGTAATCACATCAAGGCTAAGAGCTTTAGTCATACCACTAAATAATGTTTATCCTCCTATTTTCTGTCACCGATCTCCCGTACCATGGCATAACTCAGCTGGCAGCCCATCATGAAGTTCATTAACGACCAGTATGAAGCGTATCTGCAGGAAGAGATCAACATCAACCGGAAGAAAAGGATCCCAGACTCCAGAGTCCACTGCTGCATATACTTCATCCCTCCAACCGGACACTGGTACCAACACACACCTTAACCTGTGTGCAGATGTTTGTGTGGGACTAATTGGCTTCATTTATGCGACCTTTAAAAGGTCTTCATCGTCCGTCTGCTGTGGAAAAAAACAAAGTTGGATCAACTTCAGCGGCCTATTTTCACCCTGACTGTTGTTTACTCTCAGGTTTTGAAATATGATGAAGCTCTTGGTGATCCTTCATACTACACACACACACACACCACACACACCACACACACCACACACACACTACACACACACACACACCACACACACCACACACACCACACACACACCACACACACACACACACACACACACACACACACACACACACACACACACACACACACACACACACACACACACACCACACACACCACACACACCACACACACCACACACACACCACACACACACACACACACACACACACACACACACACACACACACACACACACACACACACACGGAGTTGGATTCTTCCTGCCAGGCTCTGAAACAGAACAACGTCCCGAGTTTCTCCCTAGATTTTTTACAGATGCAAACATCTGGATCTGATTGAACAGCCTAATCTTCTCTGCCTTTCTCTCTTGGCTTGGTTATTGGAACTCAGGGGACTGGGGTTTACACACACACACACACACACGCGCGCGCACACACACACACACACACACACACGTTGCCTCGGCACCATTTTTTCTAGGTAATTCCCAAAGCAGCTTCTGCTCAGGCTAAGTGACATCTGCAGTTTTGCATAAAACATTTGTGTGTGTGTGTGCGCGTGCGTGTGCAGGCGTGCATGCTTACATACAAGTTTTGCACTTTAGTTTGTTTTTGTTGTTTACTCTTAAGTGCATGAGACCTGCTGCTTGTGCCAGACTGCACTGCCTCTCAGAAACACGAGTCTTCTCAACCACCGATGCAGCGTTCATACACTCTTCTCTGTCTGCATGGTTAAGGGTCACTTGTGTTTCTGTTACATGCTGATTATTTTACTTTGTCTGACAGAATGTTGAGTAAATTCTGCCCCCTGGTGGAGAAGTCCTGCATCACAGTGTCATCACTGTTTGAATTCTTAACATTTCCTCTCATTTGTCCCCCGTCCCTCTCAGTCTGCGACCTCTTGATGTAGAATTCATGAGACGTCTCAGTAAGGTGGTCAACATCGTCCCTGTCATCGCCAAGGCAGACACGCTCACGCTGGAGGAGAGGGATTTCTTTAAGAAGAAGGTAGAGTTGGCTGTTTTCACTACTTCGTCCTCTCTGGTTGTCCCTACCTGTGCAGATTAAATCTGATTTATCGGGTTTGTCCTGAAGGATCGTGGGCTTTCCTGCTTGTTTTGTGTTCTCAGGTTTAAACCTCCATCTTCTGAGGCTGTTTATCATTTACAGGCTGAGATTAGAGACTAATCTCAACATTCTGGAGCAGATTAAAGTAAATCCCACTGAATGTGTTCACTGTAAAGATTCGTGAGTGTGTTTGGTGTGTCTGGGGACCAAATTAAGCTTGTTTGCTTAATTGCTTAAAAGGCCTCGGGCGGTTTTCTTTACAAACTGCGATGGGTTAAAGGCTCATTCTGTCTTATGTTTGATTTTTATTTCCTCTCATCAGATCAGGGAAGAGCTGCGAGCCAACGGGATTGATGTGTACCCTCAGAAGGAATTTGATGAGGATGCGGAGGACAGGATGATTAACGAAAAGATCAGAGTAAGGGCTTAATGTTTAAGCTTCAGTAAATGTGTGAAATGAGAATTTTTACCAATTTTATGTTGATTTCCTCTGGAGCAGGAAATGATCCCGTTTGCTGTTGTGGGCAGCGATCAGGAGTACCAGGTGAACGGGAGGAGGCTGCTGGGCAGGAAGACCAAGTGGGGAACTATTGAAGGTACAAGTTTGTCTAATAAGCAGAGAGAGGAGGTGTTTTTGTGTCTGAGGAGCTCAAAGTAGTTCACTAATGTCCCAAACAGAAAAATAGCATCACTGTGGCTCCTTGTCAGGATGAACTTCTCACACGTGGCTTTTGTCTACATAAGTCTGGGATTTGCCATCTACTGGCAGCGCTGGATTTAATATTTAATTGCGTCAGCCACTTGAGACGCCTCTGTGGCGAGTCTCCTTAAGGAAGTCTAATTTCCTGCAGCACGCCGCGTCTGGTTCTTCTGCCGCCGTTCTTATCTCTGCACAGCAGTTTCGCTGCATGGATTAGTGCAGGAGGTGAAAGGAGAGATGACGCGGGTGTCTCTGGGGTTCAACAAACAGGACAGGGTGGCTCCACCTAGTGGACTCTTCAGGAAACTCCACTAAAAACAACCTGGAAGCAACACACGCAGTTTATTAATTTAATAAATTGTAAGTCGCTTTGGATAAAAGCGTCTGCTAAATAAATAAACATAAACAAATAAACATAAACATTAACCCTTTGATGCATGAATTGCGAAATCTTCAACCATGATTTTTTAAACAACTTTTTTCATTCATCTTTAGCTGTGAATGAAACGAATTTCATATTTACATATTCTTTGTAACATTTAATTTACAAATAATTTATTACATGTCCACCTCAGTGGACAGCGTGCATTCTGAACATGCAATATGTTTGCTTGGCTTACTGAAGTACAAATGGAGGGGCTCAAATGCAATAAAGTCTTCAACAGCTGTGCTTAATAGCAAATATAAATAAATAACCATTTGAGTACCTGTCCACTGTAGTGACCGTTATGCATCATCCCTTATTGGGTTAGCAGACGGAGCTCAGTAAGTCAGAAGATTAAAAATGAGGTTATAACGCACACGAGGACACAAATACAGTAATGCACCACCTCTACTGCTAATAATAATAATAATAATAATAATAATAAATGCAAATGCAAACGTGATGTTTTATTTTTTGTTGGAATGCCAGATGAATTCTTCCAAACTTGTCTAACCTCTCGTCTTTTTTTGTCCCTCCTGTGAAGTTGAGAACATTGCCCACTGTGAGTTTGCCTACCTACGGGACCTCCTCATCAGGTGGGCAGCAAACATGAGTCCTTCCTGTATTTCGCTGGTATTTGTATGTGTATTGGTTTAGGAGTTAGTCGTAACTTCACAGGAAATCTTTTTTTAAACGAAAGGTGCGTTTTAGTCTCTTGGCGTTAAGCTAGAGTGCTTTTGCAGTTTGCAGAACTAAATTATAATCTGACCCAGATTGTTTTCAGTGTGTCGTGAATCAGCCCAGCCAAAACTGAAAAGGTACTTTTGTGTCTGTAGGACCCACATGCAGAACATCAAGGACATCACCAGCAGCATCCACTATGAAATGTACCGCGTGAGACGCCTCAACGAGAACAACACCGCGGTGGCTCACGCCAACGGCATCCCAGAGCACCACCTGGCCGTCCACGAGATGTAAACACCACCCGCCCGCCTGCCGTTTGAAGCCTGTGGCGGCCACGCTTTGATCTTCCGTGACGGCCTTCTCGCCACTCCAGCTCCCACCTCACAGGTGGGGCAGAAACACGCCAGAGGGACTTTGTTTTTTAATGATGTCAGTTTGTGGCTGTTTTAACAACCTTTATGTTCTGTTTGTTCCTGACAAAGACGGAGAAGAGCTGTAGCTGCGTACACCTCTAACCGTTTAGACTCCTGGTGCCAAAAACTACCAAACAGGACCGACTTTTTCACTCAGTGCCTGATCTCTGTAAATCAGGGATTATTAAACTCGTCCACTTCTTTATTCAACTGTAACCTTTTAAACTCTGTTATATGGTTTTGTGCCGTAACAGAAGTCTGTGATCACTACATGCTGTTGGGAGAGGGTCAGGTCGTCGTTTCCCAGCATGCAACACGTTGGATCCAAACCGTTTCTGAAACAAAGCGCCGCTCCAGTCAGAGTAAAGGTTGTTTTGTGTTTGTGTTTTTACCCTAATGGCCTTTTAAATCCCCATTTATAAATGTTTATTAATAGAATTATCTTAAGTGTGATCTAAGATGAAAATGTATTTATGCACGTTTTAAAATGTGAATGTTTTCCATCCGCTGTGAGGCCCCCTCCTCCAGACTCTCCTGCTTCTAGGCCCACCTGCAGTGCCTTATTTATTGGAGAATGCTTCGCTAGCAAACTGGAAACGGAGCAGATTTGTGATTCCACCTTAAATACATTTAATCCTCTTGCCATTTATCTGGATAAATATCTAGTTAGTGATGAATCAGCTCACTTTCTTTTGTTTTCTTTACCAAAACGTACCGAGAGCCTCCCTCTCTGACGTATCCAATTCCCAAAGCTTTTATATTTCTCTTTGCTCTGTTCACTTTTGTACTTGTATTATTGATAACAAATGTTCCTTTATCTTATTTTAAAGAAATAAAGATTGAAGATGTAAATAATGATTTATCGCACCGGTTATTTATTTTAACTTTATTTTCTCATCACCAGCTCAGAGCTGGCTGCAAACGCCGGTTTGGATCATTTCTGCTGCTTTGGACCCCTCCCCCCCCCCCTCTCCCCCCGCGGTGTTTCACCACAGGTGTAATTCACTTAGCAGAGCACTTATGCTGTCATTAAGCCTTTTCTTGATTGGCTTCAAAAATCAATATGGCAGCCTGCTTTGGTCCGTGCACGGCTGATTAGCACTAATTACTTGAATGCATGAGTGCATCTTTTCTTTCTCAGTTAGGGAGAAGGCAGGAGAGCAGAACATCAGAGGAGTCTGGGTGAGGAGATGCTGATGCCAGCATCCTGAGGTCTGGAGCTGCAGAAGTTAAAAAGTTAACTAATATTTAATTTACTAGCGCAAGTTAACTTCAAAGGTACTTATGCTTATGCTATGAATAACTAGCTAAAACTTAATGGGCTTGTGCAAATGATCTCAAGAACCGCTGGGCAGATTTTATAGAAATTTTCAGAATCTGTTTAAAAATCTACAGCCAATTAATTTTACGAGCAAACCTCATTCAAGATGGCTGCCTGCCACAGCTAACCCCTTGTCGGCAAACACAAAACTGGTTCTAAGGCAGTTTTACGAGTATTCTGATGCCGTAGCATCTGGAGTCGGCCTCAGCACTTGGGATGTAATAAAATATCAATATATCGAAATATAACGATATTTAATCTAATGATACTGAATCGATATTTAAAGTAGTTTTTTGAATTTTTTTCATTGAGAATTTACATGAAAACATTTATTGTATATAATTTGTGTGCAATTCAAACTCCGCCCACTGGGTGGCAGCGGTTTTTACCACCTTTCTGACAGAACGGCCAGATTTCGATAACTCTGGGTGTGTCTTGGAAAAAAAATGTTCTGAATTTTTACATCATATTCAGCCAATAAAATCTGGCTTTTGTCTTTGCGTCATATCGTATCGGCTCCAGATTCCCGCCAACACACACCTTACTCAACACTGAAAGGTGAGATCGTTGTACCAAACTTTTACACTAAGATTTGGAGTAACCCTGTATGTTAGTGAAGCGTTCATCATTAATCAGCATAAAATGGACTTCCTGGGCCTTTCCAGTGGATGTGCAAGCATCTTGCATCGTCTGCACAGCAATTAGCTGCCGTTAAAGTGGGCAGGTGTGTTTCTGCCGCCCGCTAAGCGCCATGTTTTGGAAGCGTTTGAGATGCACCGCTTTGGCTTCAAGTCTATTTTTTTACGCACAACTTCTCCAGAACGCAAAACAGTAAGCGGTTCAGTTTGAGCCAGACAGGAAATCAAACACGAAAGCCGTGAAAGACATCTGAGTCACATGCAGATTTCCAGATACTTAACTAGCAAAGAAATTACGTAATTTCCTGGTAAACCTTCATAGGTGAGGTAGACGGAACAGATAATATACCACAGACGTTTTTGGGTACATGCTGCAATCCCTCTCCTTGCTTTTGTTCGTGTTAACTGCTAAAATGACTTTTGTGACCCTGCAGGACTAGCTGCGTGGAACATTTTAGCTGTTGTTTTGCATCTAAAAGGCTACTGGTGGGAAGGGACCTTGCCTTCTACTACCCTCTACTAACCGCAGCTTACGCATCCAGTGGAAATCCAGTGTTGGTTGGTGTTAAAACATCTTTAGGAGTTAAGTTAAATGTAAAATGGTTTAAGTGGACCTAATGTTTCATTATTGATCACTCCTTTGAGTCTAAATAAAATCTAAACTTGATAGCTTGTGCATGGACGTAATTTTCACTTTAGAAGTGGGGGGGACACGGGGGGGGGGGGGGGGTATCTTTACAGGCTTCAACACAAACGGTTGTTTTCTGCTTGGTCCTAGAGCTCAACCAGTGTCAATTTAATATAGTGTAATATTGTTTTTTGGATGGTAAAAAGTACAGGGGTCAAAACTTGACTTTGGAAAAAGTGGGGGGGACATGTCCCCCCTGTCCCCCCCAAAATTACGTCCATGAGCTTGTGTGATGCCACGACACCAAAATGTCAACTTGCACCTTCACGATTCAAGATGGCGTCTGCACAGCCCTGTTTGTTGTTCTCCCCCTCTTCAAAACTCAACCTCCTTATCCTGACGTTCCTTTTTCTTCCTCTCGTCTTCCTTCGGGATCAGCCTGCAGCGAGGCAGCTGCAGCTCCGCTCTCTGTGGCCACGACTCGTCGCCACCCAGCAGTCGTCTGGTTGGCACCCGCCCAGCACTGCGCCGCCTGTTTTAATGACTTTCGTTAATGAGCCGCATGCTGTATGGATGCCAATGAAGTTGGCGTCTCCAGGAGAGATGGGAACAAGTTTGTTTCATGGTTGGTGCACATGTGATGGTTGGGGTTTATCAGCTGGTGCTTGTGTTCCAGATTGCACCATTCCAGCTGTTTTAATGCTTTTCCACTCCAGACTTCAGCACAGCTGCATGGAGGTTGGCTTCTTTCACCCAGAATATAAAAGTAAAACTGGTTAGACCTGAGAGGGATGCTGCCTTTTGGAAATCTCCTCTCTCAAATAGATGCATAAAGTAATTCCAATAAAAATCTTTAGAGGGATATTTAAATTTTAATTAATTTCTTGGCTGATTTCCCACAAATATCATTAGTTTGCATTTTTTCCATCTTCTTTTTGACAAATGTCTCATTGCTACCTCCAGTTAAAAATCTGTCCAGCTTATCTGCACAGAGCCAATTTGCTACCAATTAACACCTGTTTGTATGATGAGATACGGCATCACGTTGTTTCCCCTTTGATTCGTTAATTAGCTGAGTTGATTGCAGAATCTGGAGTTATCTGCGCCGCTGTGATGTGCATATATATTAGTTTTTGCACATCCATTTCCCTCCCTCTGTGGTGTGAGGTGTCGTTTGCCCCGTTTGTCCCCCCCCCGATCGGCTGTTTTCTCCTCTCTTTTGTTGGCAGCAACCTCACCTTCTCCTCCTCGACCCTTCCCCTCCCCTCTCTGAAGTCAGTTTCCACTCTGGCGCTGTGCCAGGCTCTCAGACATGCGTTCATATGCAAATGACCTGACTTAATGCAAATTGGCTCTGCTGTTAATTAACAGTCAGCCGCAAATTCAATTAGCCGTCTGCAAAGAGAGGGTGGAAATGGGTCTGTGTGGATAGATGGGCTGCAGATCTGAAAGCAGAATTCCCAGAGCGGAGTGGCGAAGAGATCGAAAAACAAAGGAATGGTAGCCGGAGGGTGTTCTGGTAGAGGGTGGATTTAAAATGGGTTAGATAACAGGTTCAAAGGCTCATGAAGCTTTAGAATTAAGTCGTAAATCTGTGTGTGTGTGTGATCACCATTACTGCGTGCTGGTTGGATTAAGTGCAGGAATGCTCTCAAACCTGGCAGAGAAGAGAACACCTCTGGATGTCCACTTTGGGTCAGCAGCTCTATTATGTAGAATGAATGCAGTGGAGGCTGGGATTAACTAATCCACCCTAATCCATCAGGTAGAAAGGTTTCACTCAGATTGTCATCTTAAGAACACTAACTCATTTTTGTTGAGCCTTTCAGGAAATAATTATTGGATGAACATTAACTTTTGGAGTCGATCAGATTTTTAAAAATGGCCGCCAAACCAACTGAATTTAGAAAACACATTAGAGTCAGATTCATCAGATTTATTTTCCGAAAGAGTAAAATGCATAAAGACTATGGTTCCAGGTGTTGGTGGATCTCTACAACATCTGTATACAGACGTAGCACAATAATAATAATAAATATGAGCAGTGGACCAATGACAACATCAGTAACATAACAAGTAGGTCAGCTGGACTTTAACTCAGGTTTACAGATTTTTGTCTCAGATTTGACTGAGGAATGCCTCTCGTCTCTCGTCTCGTCTTCCTTCGCTTATCCGGGTCCGGGTCGCGGGGGCAGCATCCCAACTAGGGAGCTCCAGGCCGTCCTCTCCCCGGCCTTGTCCACCAGCTCCTCCGGCAGGACCCCAAGGCGTTCCCGGACCAGATTGGAGATGTAACCTCTCCAACGTGTCCTGGGTCGACCCGGGGGCCTTCTGCCGGCAGGACATGCCCGAAACACCTCCCCGGGGAGGCGTCCAGGAGGCATCCTGACCAGATGCCCAAACCACCTCAACTGGCTCCTTTCGATCCGGAGGAGCAGCGGTTCTACTCCGAGTCCCTCCCGAATGTCCGAGCTCCTCACCCTATCTCTAAGGCTGAGCCCGGCCACCCTACGGAGGAAACTCATTTCGGCCGCTTGTATCCGCGATCTCGTTCTTTCGGTCATTACCCAAAGCTCATGACCATAGGTGAGGATTGGGACGTAGATCGACCGGTAAATCGAGAGCCTGGCTTTCTGGCTCAGCTCCCTCTTCCCCACGACAGATCGGCTCAGCGTCCGCATCACTGCAGACGCCGAACCAATCCGCCTGTCGATCTCCCGATCCCTCCTACCCTCACTCGTGAACAAGACCCCGAGATACTTAAACTCCTCCACTTGAGGTAGGACCTCTCCCCCGACCCGGAGGTGGCAAGCCACCCTTTTCCGGTCGAGAACCATGGTCTCAGATTTGGAGGTGCTGATCCTCATCCCAGCCGCTTCACATTCGGCCGCGAACCTACCCAGCAAGAGCTGAAGGTCAGAGCTGGATGAAGCTAGGAGGACCACATCATCCGCAAAAAGCAGAGACGAGATTCTCCTGCCACCAAACTCGACACACTCCACACCACGGCTGCGTCTAGAAATTCTGTCCATAAAAGTGATGAACAGAACCGGTGACAAAGGGCAGCCCTGGCGGAGTCCAACCCTCACTGGGAACAGGTCCGACTTACTACCGGCTATGCGGACCAAACTCACGCTCCTCTGGTAAAGGGACTGAATGGCCCTTAACAGAAAGCCACCCACCCCATACTCCTGGAGCGTCCCCCACAGGGTGCCCCTGGGGACACGGTCATAAGCCTTCTCCAAATCCACAAAGCACATGTGGATTGGTT